ACTAAAAGTGAAGACGAAACACGGACGGAATAGGACTCTAAGACCCTTAAGGCGGCGTAGAGGTTGAGTCTTACATAGCTACAAAAACAAGGTTCAGAAATATCGTGATGGTTAGCTCAAAGTTCCGTGAGGGGGGTCAGTTCGCCCCTTCACTTACCAAATATCCAGAGCGGACTGTTTCCCGTGACCACGTCCTGCAGCCACCCATGGTTTGTGCCGTAACAATGCCCTTAGTACCATGGAAATGGTCCTTTGTACCATGGAAATGGTCGATTTTACCACAAGAATGGTCAATCGTGCCACAGGAATGATGAATTGTACCATAAGAATTGGCCATTTGTGCCATAAGATTGGTCATTTGCGCCATAGAAATGGTCATTTGCGCCACAGAAATGGTCAATTGTGCCATAGAAATGGTCATTTGTGCCACAGAAATGGTCAATTGTGCCATAGAAATGGTCAATTGTGCCATAGAAATGGCCATTTGTGCCATTGTTACAGACAGACAGACAGACAGACACAGGTGAATTACGGTTTCTAGACCCTATCCTTTCATTCTAGGGAATAAATAAAATGCTTATATTTGTAAAATGAAGATAGATATTTTATTTATATTTAAGAAAAGCTTGTTAGCGCAGCCCGTTTGGGGTAAAATGTAGAACTCACGTATATCCCTTCGGTTTACTAAAATAATTCATCTGAAAAATCTGCCTTGATTTCCAAAACCTATAATTAGATCATTGCCTATTTGCACTTATGTCTGTAATTGAGTATTAATTGTTAGCTCGTATATTTAACAAGTGCAGAGACTGGTTTCTATAGTCTGTAACTAGCGAGGCCGCGTGCAACATGCACGCTACTCTTAAAAACCAATCTCCTCAATGCCGTGAACTTTGATATGCACTCTTTCTCAACCTTCTTCGCTCTGATTAGCTATTACCTCTATGGACCAACTCCAAATGTTGTCTTTCGAAGCTCTGTACGCGGAGAACGTTCCTGTAAGTTAGCACTTTAGACTGAATAACAATGAGGACTGGTGTGAATGTCGGAGTAGGTGAGGATAGATCAGTGAAAGTATTCTCTGCACGTTCACTCGTCATCCACTACACTGTTGAAAGCGTCTATCACTCACATTCACCACACCAGAGGGTTCCAAGAGTCGGATATTGTCTTATGCAGAAAGTATCTGAGAAAAAGCTTCTTGAAATGTGATTTGGTCATAAGTAACGTCCCATCAGGATTGCGGATCACTTTTCTATCTCCAGAGTGTGCGATAGTCGGATGCTTTTAAGCATTGAATTTGTAGCCCTTGGCCAGCTTCCTCAGTTGACTTCCTTAAATGTGTCACTCACCGGGAAGCCAACCGAGAAAATGCTCTTCGAAATCTGATTGGTTACTTCTAGAAGCCAATCAGAATTGAGCAGGGGTTTTCTACTTCGCGGATAAGTATTGGCAAAGTGGCTCTACCGATGTATTTGTAGTCATCGGCCTTCTCTCTCAGTTGACGTCCTTGAAGGTATGGCTCACTGAGAAATTAAACAGAGAAAATGCTTCTCAAAATGTGATTGGTTAGTCTAAGCACCCAATCAGTAAGCGACGAAATCTGATTGGTTGGAAAATTGACCAATGGGAGAGGGACCAGACCAAGGGGGGAAAAGCGCGACTTCCGTACTTCAGTACTCCCTTTGTACTCCCTGTACTTCTTTTGTACTTACCTCGTACTCCCTCGCACTTCCTTGTACTCCCTCGCACTTCCTTGTACTCCCATCGTACTTCCTTGTACTCCCATCGTACTTCCTTGTACTCCCATCGTACTTCCTTGTACTCCCATCGTACTTCCTTGTACTCCCATCGTACTTCCAAGTACTTCCACGTACTTCCATCCAATAGAAAAGTAGATGCAACAGCTTCACGAAATGCTCAGAATAGCTGCTGGAATCCGTTTGACTGTAGGTTTTCGAGGTTGAAAAACTTGAATCTGGCATCAATTTTTAGATATTTTTTACCGGATGCTTTTTTGATCAAAATATTTTTTTTGAGAAAGAATTGATTTCGGTAAAGTTCGACCGAAAGTTGTCAAGATCGGAGAACTCGAATCTGGCATCGGTTTTTAAGAATTTTTCTGAGCAATTTGTTTTTGGTAAAATTTTTTTTTCAGAAATACATTATTTTCGATAAAAGGAGGAGGGTGAATTTTGCCGTTTTGCGCCCCCCTCTCAGATTTGAATTATTTCTATCAGTTATTATTTAGGGATCATTCTTGATCACTTTTTTCAACTTCGTTTCCCAAAAATCGACATTGACGATTTTTTTGCCTGGGGTACCACACAGGTATCATTGAAAACAAAAGTTGTTTTATCACGAGCCCAAACCAGATGTAATTGTAGATTTAATGGTACAGATTAAGAATATCACAGTAAGGGCTCCAAAAATTCCTTTATTTCTTATAAAGACTGAACCACTCGCTTGACCCTATTTTTCATTGTTTGGGCCCTCATTGAATAACGAAACGATAAACTTTAGTGCAAAATGACTTCCTCTAACTGATAGTTTTGAGTTCTCTGCGAATCTTAAGTTTTTAAATCGAAAAAATGTAACTTATAGAAAAAAAGTAGAGATTCCGGGGTAAAATTTGACCCCTTCTCTCTATATTTGTCTTCTTTGATAATGAAGAAAATCTGCCGCAAAGTCAAATTTTGATCGTAAGCGCAGTTTTTCAAGATTTATGGACTGAAGATCTCAAAAATAATAGAAACGCTGTGCAACAGGGTGAAAAGTTAAGAACACGATTAATTTCTATGAAATTGCTGTAGGGAACCACTGCCACTAAAAAAGATAAGATCGGGAAATCAACAAATATATAGCCCATCTTGTACAGCTTAATGAACTGTGCACACAGTAAAAAATATATGGCTCTCCGCTCTTTCCTTAGACTCACAAATTCGCTTCACAGGATGTATGAATAGTTGCAAGGAAGTAAAATTGCTCATCAAGTTTTGAACCGAAAAAAAGAGCGGAGATCAATAATTTTTTTATTATACGTACAATCAATTAAGCTCTGCAAGATGGGCTAAATATCAGTTGATTTCATGATCTCTTATATAATCGTAGATGTGGCCCCCTTCAGCAATTTTACAGAAATTGTTAGTATTCTTAACTTTTCATCCTGTTGCACAACTTTTCTAAATATTTTTAAGATCTCTAATCGATAGAGCTTGAAATACTACACTATTGATCCAAATTAGACGTTGCGGCAAGACTTTCTTCAATATCTAGGTAGCTAAATATGATGAGCATGGTTCACGCTTTGCCCCGGAATCCCTGTAATTTTTCCATACGTAAGGTTTTTTCGATGTAAAAAATTCAGATTCGAAAAGAACTCAACATTATGAGTCAGAGGAAATTATGTTGCACCCAATTCCATCGCGTACTATTCGATGAGTGCCCAAATAACGGAAATAGGATCAAATGAGTGTTCTCGGCTACTTCGGAAGCAAAGTAGTTTTGAGACTTCTAATTACGATATTCATAATCAGTACCATTAAATCTACAATTACATCAAGATTTGGCTCGTGATAAAACAAATTTTGTTTTCGATGATACCTGCGGGGTACCCCAGACAAAAAAATCGTCAACGGCGGGTTTTGGGAAACAAAGTTGAAAAAGTGATCAAGAATGATCCCTAGATAATAAATGATAGAGATAATTCAAATCTGAGGGGAGGCCGCAAAACGGTCTTATCCGCCCTCCTCCTTACCTAATATTCTCAGAAGTATTACAAATCTGCAACAATATAAGCTTACGCTAAGTTTTTCCTCTTTTTTTGTTTTTGTTTTCGCTATTTTCCGCTTTTTAAAGTCAGCTTTTCCATTTTTAGACCTCATCAGGTGACAACCCTATGCGACATTCTTACCATCTGCTGGCAGCTAATAAGATGAAATGATCAATTCGATTAGCGCAATGAAAACTACAAATATTTTTAGGTTGATAGAAGAATATCTATCGAAAACTCTCATAGAATGTATTTTATATCATGGTTCTGAATAATAACATAATTAAAATGAAAACCATGATACTTATATGAGAAGTTATTCATAGTTAAAGATAGTTCATTGCACTTCTCTTGTACTTCACTCGTACTTCTCTGTACTTCACTTGTACTCCCTTGTAATTCACTTGTACTCCATTGTACTTCCTTGTACTTCGCTTGTACTTCCATGTACTTCCATCGTAGTTCAAAATGTTTTTGGAAGTAGATGAAGTCGCGCTTTTCCTCCCTTGTCATTCAGTCATTCAAGTACATGAAACCAATCGTCAATTAACGTATGTTTATACATTCAGAGAGAAAAACGATTCAAAAACGGGTAATCAAGTCAGAGCTTGTGTCTTTTTCTTCAGCAATTTTACTAGTATCATTCGAATTTGTTGCACTGTTACTTGTAGTTTTTGAATTATCACCGTGAATAAATTTTGGATTAAATGCAAAGGCACCTTTTGGAATAAAAGTAGAAGCAATCACTAACACTGAAATAAGAGCCATTTGAATAGCGATTGTATTTAGAAATGCTGGTCTGATTGTTCCAGTTGATGTATAGACACTATCAAGATGTTTTCCAAGAAATGGATTTAAAATTGCAGAAATAATAATATATGATGAATATAAAAATGCAGCAACTGCACTTAATACTGATATATTCTTATGATTCGATTCTAAACCACTTAAAGGCGATTGAATAAATGAATTAAGTGCATTATCATCAGCAGCTGATGCAAAACCAATTGGAATATATTTTGCAGCAGCAATCCAAGCATATGCAGTATTATTCATAGGTGGATAATAATACGGAATATATCAGACAATAAGTAACATTAAGGCATATAATTGTGACCAAGGAAGAGGCGTTTTAATATAAGTTCTAACACAAAATATGAATAAAGCACCGAGTAATTCACCTAAATCTGAACCACGAACAATAATTTGCGACCATTCCGATTGACCAAAATATCGTCTAGCTATTTGTGGAGCAGTACCATTTTCAATATAACGATGTGCATAAAGTGCCAATGTGTAACAAGTCCATAGCCAGATAAATTTTCGAAGAGTAAATATAATTTTTGCACCAATAAAAATCGACTGCCCAAAAAGAAAAAATCCTTGAAAAGCTGATTTAAAATAATTCGATTCATTTGCTGGCATAATGTCATTATCGAGATCATTCTTACTTAATTCAGATGAATTGATCAATAGGCAAATAATCGCAGCTGTCGTAAAACAAATCAGTGTAACAATAACTTCATAATTATTGCCTAGATGAGGAGTTAAAACCAAGACCTGTAGCTAATGCTCCGCTAACACCGGTTACTTCATAAAAAATATGAACTAATGCATCCATTTTTTGTAATTTGTTACCATCATCACCAACAATATCTCTTGGAATAACTCGTCGAATTAATTCGACCATTCGATAAGTAATGCCAGTTATACAATAAATTGGTATAATTACATTTGTATTATATTTCCCATAATAACTACAAGTAGCATTGTTTGTTGGCACGAAATTCAATGGTTTGATATGTCCACCAGTTGCTGCATCAAGAATTAGGAGAATAGAAGAAAATAAGGCAGAACAAAAGATGGAAATTGATAATACAGTACGCGTCGACCAATGCCTAGTAAGAGGAGCTACAAGTATTGAACTGATACATTAAAATGCTTGATTAAGGCCGGATATTAATCCAGCACGTTCGAATGCATTTGAAGATATGCCGCTTCGTAAAGCACCCTCATCATAATGATTTATAGCAAGTGTAACAATCGATCCATTGAATGCTTCTAATCCAAATTTATAAAGCATCAGTTCAATAACATAAATTATTATATTTCGTTTTTCTTTAACAGAAAATAATCTCCATGTTTGCGTAAATCTCGATTTTCCGGAGCCCATATTTGATAATAACTGAAATAAGAGAAATATAAAAGTTTTGTTCTATTGTGCCGCAAAATAATGGCGATAAAGTTATGTCGGAAAGAAAAATAAAGCTTACATTGTAACCCTTATAGCATTAAAATTTAAAACATAAAGTAATCGCTACAACAACATGTTCAGGACATTTCTGAGGGAAGGGACGGAGACTCGCTAATAACTCCATCGTTCCTTACGTCGCTCAAGACAATTCACAATACTTAACATCATGACACGAATTTCTTCGACATATCTAATCTACAACAGGGTCAAGAAAAACATCTGTTTGTTGTGCAGCTAGCATAGAAGTTCACTTCAGTTTCGATTCAACCCAAACATTTATGAAAATTCGTGTTTCACGGAACAACAATATCAGCTAGTACTATTAAAGTACTGTGCTACAGCCTCGATAACATCAGATATGAAAGGGTCTTGGGTTGATCACTAACGACTTCTTGTCCTGAATAACCCATACAATACCATACGAACTACTTTTCCGACATACAACCATGCTTGTGACTAGTATATTGTCAGTCAGAGTTTACGACGATCGCAAGTGATTAAGCGGGAAAACTCAGAGTCACACCTATTTTCAATTCAGGCTTACAATTAGTAAAAGTTGTGAGGAAAATGTCGAGTTTTTTTCGAAACTATCTCCGCACAGCACCCTATACCGAAAGGTACCTGAAAGATGAGTTATTCTTCTTCTTTAATAGCAGTAAATATTCGAAAACAAAATCACATGGCAGAAATTATGATCTTGATGATCTCTGTTCTGTTCTGTTCTTTTTATGAATATAAACATATTAATCATTAAAATCTATTGATAATACCCTTTGCGATAATGTTTTCGAATAGTGTCCTAAGAAAAACAATAATATTTACTCATTTCACTAAATAACAAAGATCATTAAAAACTCTTAGACAGAAAAGTCTCTGAAACATATTATGGCTGATGCTTTCATGAAAGTTATCTTTACAATTCTTAGAAGAATAGAGTTTCGAATTTATCTAAATAGCTGTTCGAAGTTTTCGAAAATTATTAAACAAGACTTTAATCGAAGAAAAATGCATTTGAGATGTATCTAACTAACAAATCGACATTTTTTCATGTTTCAGATTTCGTATAAGTAGTTCAATTAACAAATAGTTGAATTTTGTGATAAAATATAAAATTAATTTATCAAAGATTCAGAACTCAATATTCGTTAACATAATTTTACACCTCGAGTTTGTTTGTCATTTTGTATCGTTTAATATCAAACGCTTTTTAGAATACTATGGAATTAAGGGAGGCATGTGTTCAACATGTATCACTCTTCTAATTTAGCTGAATAAATGAAGTATTAATAAATTTTGGTTTTTTGAACGAGTTTCACAGAAGAAAAATTAAGTTTATCACTTGAAACTGTCATTTTCAAGGCTTGTTTCTACCTGACTGCTTTATATCATTCTTCCGGCTTGTTTCTTTATCTCGAGTACTCGAAATTCGAGGACTTCGTAAGAGTTCGAAATCGAAAAGAACGAACTAAAAGGATATATTTTATATTTTCGAGCACTCGCTGCGCCCATTGTTTGCTCTTTGATGTCTGGTTGGGTTCTTTCTATATGATCGAATACGATTCATCAATCGCTAGATGAATGAGAGTTTATCAAGTGCTGATTATTTTCTATCAGTGCCAATGATTAGGTTTCTTTTTATGCTATTTTAACATATTGCAATAAATCAAGATATTTAACTTAAAACGTGCAGTATTTCGTTTTTAATCATAGAAGGAAGATATAACTTTCCGAAAATAATTCCTTTTAACCTTCTATGCAGTAGATTTAAGTGAAGAATAGGTTAATTATTTTAAATTGAACAAAAATACTTAACAATAGACCTATATATTGTTTATACTTGTTGTCTAAAATTTCCGGCTCTAAACCAAAAATCTGACAACCACTTCTTGATTGATATGCACGGGACCGAAAACCATACATTCAATAAAGCTATTAGCATAGTTTTCATTTTCGAGTGTCAAACCCATTAGAATTTTAGAAATTCCTTAAAAATTTGAAAGCCTTTCTTTATTATCTCATATCAGCATTTTCGGCAAGCTCTGCAGTGCTGCCGCAAAGATATTCACTTTTCTTACTGCACACTTCAATACTAACTAACAAGCATTCTCTTCTCTATCCCCACCCACACACCCAGCAAATATTCACCTGTAGAGCCTATTATAAAAATAAATTCGCATCGATTTGATTAATGTGTCTCTTTTAGTCGGTGACAATGCATAAGGCTTGCCATTTGGAGATTATTGTAAAAAAAATAATGAACGAAAAACAAAAGCACATTTCTATTTGCCATTTGTATATAGTATATTGCATTCTTCTAAAGCTGGTAGGCTTTCCTAAAATAAGTCAATAGTTGTATTTGAATCCACAATTACTATTTTCAAATCCATACTTGTAAAGTTAAAATTGCTAAATCAGATACATTTGTTGAATTTAAGTTAAGCTTTCGTAACATTTTCATGTCTAAATGTAAAAATCGACCACATGGAAAAAGAAAATCATAACCTTACTTGCTAGAAAAGTAAGACCTTTATCCGTTACTGGTGTTTCGGATAAATTAAGTATTTCTAGTTGATTCAAATGCTCGGAAATTAATTCTAAACCAGCATCACCAAACTAAAAATAAGATAATATTCAATAAGAATAATTTTGAATCAGAAATTTTCATTGTCGAACTCACTCGTGTTGACCTCACATTTAAATCTTTTAATGCTGGTAAATTAATTATATGTTTAGCACAAGCGCTTGTGACATGCGTAAATGCTAAATTTAAACATTCAAGATTACCGAGTGGACCTCTGGATAATAATCCTGCTAAATCACTATCAATTGAATTTGGCTCTAATGTTAGTTCTCTTGGTCCACCTTTCTGTTGAATTTGTTTTAAAACTCTCTGCCGTGCACATGTGTTTGCATACATGTTTGACCCATGTGACGTTAATTTCAATGTTGATATTAATTTTAATTTATTATCGTGATTTTCAACTGCATCCAAATCAAGCATCGCACATAAAGTCTAAATGAATACTCTGCTGTTTTGCAGAATATTCAACAATTGAATACTTACATCTAATGAACTTTGACGTCCGCGTAATGCAAGTAACATCAAAGATGGTAATAATTTGTTAATACTTAATAAGAAACTTTTTTTTCGACAACAACATGAAATTAATTTATTGAGCTGAAAGATGCAAAGACGAAGTAGAAAAACAGGAAAATGTTGTTTTGTATTAAAATTTTTTCTTTACCATCTGTGAAAACATTTCACCATCATCGTTACAACAAGCATTACCATTGAAACAAAAAGTTTCAAACCATCCGTCTTTACCTTCACGTTTACCTAAAACGGTTTGATGAACTTCACATCGCGGATCTTCAACGAGATTTTTAACAACATTTTTGTAGATTCTAGTTTGTATAAACACCAAACAACATAGAAAATAGTTCATTTGAAGAAATATATATATATATATATATTACTCAATAAAACGACCATGTTTTAGTGCTTCATCTGGAAAAGGAATGGGCTGTAGAATCAAGCCAAGTTGGTGTCGCCAGTCGTAGAATGTGGATCTATATTCAAACAAAAATTTAGTATCATTGTGCTTATGATTATTTAAAACAGTAAATAATAAAGCAGTTATCTCGATATATTATAAATCGAAAATTAGCCTATATGGACAGGTGACCAGACTATTCTGTTGTAGTATAGTCATAGTTGCTCTCTGAACGGCTATCTATTTTCATTACTACAAATTGCGCTGTTTTGTGTAGAATTGTTCATGCATGTCATGCTTACATTGTTTGTAAAATGTGCGTATAACATATTAGTTGACTTTCATTCTTTGTGTCATATTCACGACAACTGTCTTCATTTTCGAAATGAAATCTATTTTAAAAAAAAGAAAAATAGTTTATAAAAATTTATACGAAAACAGAAAACACTTCCAATATTTACCTTTTTCTTTCTTTAAAAAAACTATAAATTTCAGCAAGACAGACAGAAATCAAATTTGAGTGAACACGCAAAAATGGACAAACCATTGTTGGACTATGCATCCTATGATACATAAAAATAATTCTACATGTAAATATATATATGCGTGTCATTACCGTTTAATAAAATTGTCTACAGCTTGTAGGCCATCATTTTGAGAATTAAGAGAAAATAAATATTCTTGAACAAGTGTTCTCATTCGTAAACATGTCCTAAAATTCTTAAAACATTATAATCATCATTTGTTTTAGTTTTGAATTTTTTAATCATTAAATTTAACTGTATTATGTTTCAAAATTTTCTGCACACTCAATGCAAACATATCCATTACAATGGGAGAGCGTGGGCTATCCCGGCAATACTAAACGAAACAAAACAAAATCATTATGAACATATGTAGCTAAGTTGTTCATACTCGAGTAAAAAAGTCACATGCTTCTGGTGATGGATAATTTTTTTCAAGTAATGGTGCTAGTGCTTCAATTGCATTTTCATACACAAAAGGTATTGAATTAAATTCTTGCTGTGAAAAGACGATTATAGAAAGATTTTAAAATAAAGTGCAAAGTAAACGAAGATTTATTTTGTTTTTTACTTTTTGGAGAATTTCACAAACAATTTCAAGTGGAAAATGATGAACTTCAACATCTTCAATAGGTATTGCCGTTGTAAAATCGATCAAATTCTAACAATGAAATAGCAAAAATAACAACGTTCACCGATTGTTTTAATTAAAAAATAATAAAGAAAAAAACATCAATTACCTTAATTTCTTTTAACAGTATTTCTGAATTATCAGTTGAACGTAAATTACGTTCGAATTTAAATTTGTTTAGCTATTAAAAGAAAATATAGTATAGAAGATTTCAAAGTAATATTAATAAATAAAATACTTTCCATTTCATTGAGTAGAACAATTGGTCTCTTAAATCACGTGTATTAATCTATAGCAAGGAAAGAAAAATTGATAACCATTCAAAAACATTTCTTACTTTAAAAAAATAAATATGATCATTCGTAACAATAGTTATACAAAACTGAGAATTCCAATGAATTATTTTGAATTTCGACCGTACAGATATATCTTTAATGACTGAAAAAGCTATCGAATTATCCGTAGATGTTGCATTCTATAGAATAACAAATATAAGAAGATCGTATTATCCATAAATATAATAATAATATAATTATATTTAAACAAACTGTTGTTAAAGTTATTTCACTTTGACCAAGATGAATATGATAATTTATCCAACGGCGAAAAAAAACTATTTTTTCTAGAAAATTTTTTCTACGACGGGCACGATACACTGGAACATTGCAATCAGTTAATAATTTATAACATTGTTGAATACGACGACCATTACTAAACATATCGTGTGTGTCAACGTTATTCACACTTGTAGTAATTTGTGCATAGTTTGATGATAACGTCAGAGTTATACTCCCGTTGTATTTTGTTGCATAATTATAATCACGGTCATCTCCAGCAGATGAAGAAATAAATCTGATTGGATTAGCCTGGGATGCAGACGTCAATTGATTTTCCATCTATGATTAATAACTGTTAAGCAAATTTAAAGTCAAGATTGATTAACTTATTGTCTTAGATTAACTGATAACGATGCGTAACAAGATATCAGTGGTATGTCAATTTTGTACTATTGTATTTACGTTGACTTTATCTAGAAAAGAAAAGAGCTAAATTTTCTGTCCAGGTGTGGGTTATGGATTTCATTATCTTAAGATTTATCGTCTCCAGCATTCTTGATTCGTTAGCTTTTAATTAAATATAGAAGAGTACTGATGGATCGTTCGATTTTTTACAACTAATAGCAATAAAGTTTCAAACTTTGTGGGCAAACGAATTGGAAATTTCTAATATTGAAAGGTTTTTTCCGCTTACTTGATAATTTTCCATTCTAAGCCGACTAGTATCACTACTTGGAATCCTATCATATACAATATTCGAATAAGTATGTTTAACTTGTTTCCGTATGTAAAAATCGATCATTTTTTTATAGATTTTTACACGCGTTTTCAGTTAAACACAGCGTAGATGAATATAGTAATTTCATGCATTATGTTACTACGTATGTACAAGCGTACGCAGAATAATAATATTTTATAGCATGTGACCATTTTTTTATGTCACATGCTGCTGTGCTTCTTTTCTATTTCGTTTAGTTTTTCTAACGTACATAGCTATGTGAGGAAGTCAGAGAACGACTATTTATTACTCAACTTGTCGAACGCAGAAAATAATTTGCAGACACAAAATGCATGCGAGTACAGGACAACAACTCGGACGAATGAATGCACTCGGGATATGATGAAATCCTGCTGAGTTTGTATCTGAGCATTCGATCTAATTTTCCCTCCCACGTCCACCTCATTCCTCTTATACAGTGAAATGTACAAAAAATTTTAAATCTAGCTTCTTTGAAAATATTATTATATTCAATTGTTTCACAAAAAATATTAGAATTAAATTTAAACAACTCAAACCATAATTAGATTAAATTAAAATAATACACTTAAAATGAAAACAATAAGATAGCAATTGAAATAAAATAATTTAACCGATTTCTGGTGAATTTAATGTCATAACAAGATTTGAACAAAAATATAAGAAAATTAAGTTCGAATTACAGAAAACAAAACAAAATAAAATAAACACAATAAAATAAGAATGAAAATATGTTAAGCCGCTGTACTCACTGTGTATAAACTTTATGCCGCAATAAATTCTAAAAGAAAATAAGAGCAACATTAAATAGAAGAAAAACAGCATAACATACAAAAAGTTGAAAAATAAATAAAGTAAATCTAATGCAGTAAGAATGAAAACATCTATAATCACCGTGGACTGACTTTCTACCGTGATAACCTCTAAGAGAAACACAAGATAACAAAATCACGAACAAGAACATAAAATAAGTGTAACATAAAAAACAATGACATTACAGTGTGAACGTTGTCTCTTTATCATATAATAATATACTCACACCCACACCCACACCCAGGTTCGGTCATACCGGGTACCGGGCACCCGGTACTACCCGGGTTTCATCATACCCAGATTCGGTACTGGGATTTGCTAATCTGCTTACTCGTATCCTTCGAAGCGTAGAAATGAATAATAAATAGCACCTATGGATATATAGTAGGTGATAAAAGATGAATTCATATCAAAGATCCTCTACCTTGTTCAACCTATTATAGTTAACAGAGCCCCAACCAGGCCAGGTCAATACCCCAGGCAGGGAGCTAAAATGACAGGCCATCTGGCCTGCCTGTTCATATTTTTTATCATATAAAATTTTCCTTTCTATAGAAGTTTTTCAACATAAACGATAGATATGACGCGAACAATCAGATAAAATTATCTTATCTTGATTGTAATTCATGAAAGTGATTACTAACGTTCATTGAAAATACCACAGCGCAAAATTCACTTTGTTCATTTACCATTTATATCCTCAACCGCAATAATCTATCTTTTTATTATAATCTTCTCTTCTTAAGCTACTACTCATACTCATCCACGCCGATCTTCTCTTGACCCTCAAACCATAAACGATATTCTATTTGTAAGATCTATTCAAAATATTCTTGAACAAAAAAGAACTTTTTTCTCTTAATATTATTCAATCTCTAGTGTGCTGTTGTATATTAAAACTTCAATAAATAATGTATCAATCTAGTCATTTTGAACTAACTCAAATGGTTTCCTTTGTTTTCAAGATTAATTGCATGCTTCTATTTACCATCACAATGATATTCGTATGAAAGAAAAATAGACAGGCCTTGCAGGCAGGTAGGCAGAAAAAAGATTTGGTAGGCCTCAGGCAGACTTTTAGTTTAAAGGCTTGTCACGGGCAGGCCAGGCCAGGCCAGGCCAGGCCAGGCCTACAAACATGAGGCCTGGTTGGACCTCTGATAGTTAATCTCATTTATCAGGAACGAATACAGTTAAATGAGCTTCTCTTAATATTTATTTTGGACTCAACTACAAGAAATCGCCAAATGGTTCTCCTTATTAAGTTTTCCGGAAATGCAGATGTATGATTTTTTCCATCGGTCTACTAACAATATCAATACTAATAATCCTAATATCGATATCAAAAGTACTAAATTGTATTGGTATTGGTAGTATTCGAATTCTCACATCCCTACTAAGACTATCAGGCGGATCATTTCAATAAGGAGAACCATTCGACAATTTCCGGTAGCTGAGTCCAAGAGAAATATTCATAAAAGCTCATTTTATTGTATGGTTTCCAGATAAATAAGATTATCTATGATAGGTTGAGGAAAAGGCCACAAACCTTTGAAATAAAATCATTTATTATTATCGATCTATAGGTACTACTTGCTATTCATTTATATGCTTCGAAGGATACGAATAAGTAGACTCTCGAATTCCAGCACCAAATCTGGGCATGATGAAACCGGGGTAGTACCGAAACCGGGTATGACCGAACCCGGGCAGTTCGGGTTCGGTGCATGCCTAATTTTATGCCCACTTTTTGTACATAGAAATTCATCTTCAGCAGGAATTTTATAGAATCAAACGAACAAGCAATGAAACAGTTATAGTACAATGCGGAATAATGCTAAAAATGTGTTCAAAGATTGGTACCATTATCATATGTCTATAGTTTCTACATCAATGTTAACTCTTGTTATTTCTTCTGGTTTGCTTTGTTGCTCTGTATAGTATTAGACATATTGGTAACAGTACTTCGCAACGGTCGTTGATTGGATTTAAGCGATTTTGACTGCAATTGATGAGACACAGAAACGCCTAAACAGAAGATTACATAAGACTGTTCAGTTGAGAATTTACATAAAAACAACAGAATCTCATGAATGGATAATTTCTATTTGTTTCTTTTATCGTGAAAATTTGTGATTGAGTTGGTTCAGAAGAATCTATTTAATACAATGACTTATTCATGATTACTAAGCAATTACTTGAGTACCGCCAACCCTATAGTCTTTAGACATTATTTCTAAATTTACCTTTGACTAGTTAATTATATGAGTTTCATGAAATTGTTTAGATAAATTATTGACATTTAATTCACAACAACGATTTGAACTTACTTTGTGTGGATTGGGATGAGATAGACTCTTCCTCTGTTCTGCTAACTACCATAACATTTACAATCTTGTCGAGTGAATTACTAAACTGAATAAAAATGAAACAGTGATATTACGTTAAAAGGTAAACTGAAAATATTTTTTGGAGATACAAAACTTAAAAAAGGGTTTAGAAATTTGAAATGATCACTAAATCCTTTTTAGGTTCGTAAAATACTACGAAATCATCAAACAACTTTGTGGTTGGTTGATAAGGTTTTGTATGGGTTTTACATAGAACTACAAAGCCCTTAAAAAATATTGAGGGTTTTGTTTCTCCGAATTTTCTCTTCTGTGGGTGTATGTATATACGTACGGATCTCATTTGTTGCATTATTTCATCAATGTGAGTGCTGATCTGTTTCACTTGATCTCCTAGATTGGACACAGTCGACTCCACTGACGATAACTTCTCACTGTTATCGTTTTGTGAATGTTTGAGCTCATTTTTTAAATTAATCATGTCAGATTTGAAGGAATTCGCCTCATCACTTCCAGTCGGCGATATTTCAGACCTATAAAAATCAATGAAACTGAGAAGAAATGCTAGATCGTGATAGAGATATGCTTTCACAATTATATAGATTATTTATTTAATTTTCTGCAATAGTACAAAAATAGACATGATGAATTTTTAGATACGTCTTATAAAAATGCAAAGTGGCGCAGCTCTTGACTTCGTTAGGTCAGTAATACAACAAGCCCCTTCACATATCTCATTTATCAGGAAAATAAGAAAATCAGTTTTTGAATGAATATTGCTTTAATACTGTTTTTTTGTAGGGATTTAACTGTTTACTTTCAATTTTCGTGAACATATTCGTCTATTTTGGATTCGCTAACGTGATTTTTTTGGTACATGTGTAACGGTATTTACCGTTATGGCTCACTTTATGTACTTTATCCTCTTCGCTGTATCCTATGTCTGCGCATTGACCTGATGAACTCTCATTGTTCTATTGCGTGACCGTTCCCTCTTTGTCTATATCTGCCCAAGCGTGATTACTCTCGCGTATATAAGGGAATGTAAGTAAAGGAAATGCACGACTAGAGATGTGCAGATGATACAATACACCATCATGCCGACGGGCATAGGCGACACTCTATGTTCGTCACAACTGGCTACCCTGGCAAACGGATCCTTGCAAATTTTTGTTCGAAGGGGATCCTTTCAATATTTAACGTTTATAACAACACCAACATCTCAAGTGATAATAATGTGAAAAATTAATATGGCGATCAAATATCCTCAATAAATGCGAAGCAGCAACTGGGATGAAGGCTTTATATGATATCTGGCCTCCTCAACAGATTAGGCGGTGGGGTCTCTGGTGGACAAACGTTGGCAAATATATGTCAAAAATTAGACAAAATTGAATAATATTTTGAATGAATAAAATGAATAAATGAATAGAATGAATTAAAAAGAAATTGAATTAAATGATTTTGAATAAAAATATGAATTAAATAAATTAGAATAAAATATGAATTAAACGAAATTGATTAATTAAAAGAGTTACAACTGCGAGAACGACCTACCGACCGCATGATATCGACTCAACCGTCTGAGAAGAATGACTTGGAAGTTCCTACTTCTATTGCGTGGCTTTTTATCGGATGGTATCTTCGTCCATTGCTATGAAGTAATAGGCATTAATGAAAATTGATCGCACGAAAATATTCACATAAATCAAAACCAGAAAAATGTCCAAAAATAATGACTGGAGAAAATGTTTTTAAGAACACTGAATCTTCGTCAAGAGACAACAGAAATATTTACAATGAATTCTTAAAAAGTACTCATGAAGAATATTATAACAAGGCAATTGAAGCCTAATGAATGCTCAAATTATGGCTAACGAAATTATATTTTAACTGACTAGTAAAACAAAAATGAAAATGAAATTGAATTCTTTGTTATAAATTAAAAATGTAATGCTTTTTGAATTGATTGTATAGTGAAAGTGTTTGTTTTCTCTTTCCCATGACATAATTAGGTTTTTGTTTTCTTTGTATTCTTTTGTTTGCTCAGGAGAGTTCTAGTTTCAGTGGGGGAATATTGTAACGGTATTTACCGTTACGGCTCACTTTATGTACTTTATCCTCTTCACTGTATCCTATGTCTGTGCATTGACCTGATGAACTCTCGCTGTTCTATTGCGTGACCGTTCCCTCTTTGTCTATATCCGCCCAAGCGTGATTACTCTCGCGTATATAAGGAAATGTAAGTAAAGGAAATGCACGACTAGAGATGTGCAGATGACACAATACACCATCATGCCGACGGGCATAGGCGACACTCTCTATGTTCGTCACAACATGTTGACTATGATCTCTCATATCGATGTCATTGCTAATGGCAGCATGAATTAATCTTTCTTTGTGGCTGAAGACTTAATTCTAATTGATTAGCATCTGAGTAATGAACCTTATTCCCACTTTGCTTGTTGGGCACACATGCGGTGAAAATTGCCCTCAAACATACATGTTTGTTGCTGAGAGCGGTTTATTTCCTTTTATGTATCTTTGACAATCGTCTTCCTAGCTTAGAGAATGTTCACTTATCACTTTTCCTCTTTCTCCTCTTCTTGATTGCCTTATCTCTTTGAAGTTGTCTTCTTTCTTTCTATTTCGTAAAGAAATGATTAAGATTGGAAAGATACGAAGTTATATTCATGCTTATTTTTCTAATCATTGCAACAATCAACCATAACAAGATTACGATAACTTTTGTAATACAACCTTTTCGTTTAAAAATAAATTTTCCTGATAAATTACGACTGTTTTTTTTAAAGTTTCACACCATTCCTGATGTTATTATTCAAATATTAACGTATATGAAATAGACATTTTATGAACAAGATATAAAGTTTGACAAACTTAGTTGCTGTCTATATAAATACATCGCAATATTTGTATGGTTGATTGTTGTAATGATTAGAAAAGTAAGCACGAATATAACTTTGTATCTTTCCAATCTTAATCATTTCTTTACGAAATAGAAAGGAAGAACACAACTTCAAAGAGATAATGCAATTAAGAGAAGAAAGAGGAAAGGTGATAAGTCGACATACTATAAGCTAGGAAGACGATTATCAAAGATACATGAAAGGAAATAAACCGCTCTTAGCAACAGAAAAGTTATTGGGTGGCCAATTTTATACATGTTCGTGGTCAAAAAGCAAAGTGGGAATAAGGCTCATTATTTAGATATGAAATAATAACGGCAGAATCATTAAAATATCTGGGCAGTCAATCAAATTTACTTACGAAATGTCAGGCGTTATTGTATTTGCAGCTTTATAGATCTGTGAATCGAGCACGTATCGAATGTAATCATTTGTTGAAAATCGTTCGAATTCTGACCATTCATTATCGAGATAAGGGATTTCCGGAATCATTTCTAAAGAACATAGAATCAAACGAATCTGTTTAATTTTCATTGTATAACTCAATATTTTGATACTCAATAGAATAATGTGAATGCGCTACTAACTGAAACATTTTGTGTTTTTATCATCATTTTTGCATTTATGCCACCACCATCGAAGAAATTCGACCATCCAGATTAAAAATCTAAATGGTGGAAACAGTGGTGGTTGAAAATAAAAGTCACGGATAAAAGCGCAGCGGTCGTAAGCCCAAATGTGATATGCTTGTGTTTGAACGTCATTTATTGTATTACTGTAATAGAAGTGATACTCATCATTATCTAAGTTAATTGACTCATTTCTATATACCTGAATAAGGCAATAAGCAAGTTTAACAACAGTATATTGACAATGAGCATATGAAATGCCAACATGACTTGAGTGGCTATGGTAGTATTGACATCAGGTGTGACTTAAAAAAAAGCATATATATGTATAAAAATACTATTTTTTTTATTGCTCTGCTAATACTATCTAATTGTGCAAGCTCATCATCAAATTTGCCCAAGACAAAATAATAAACTGGATAGACTATATTACGAAAAAATTGTCGTCCGTCTAAATCGAAAGTACCATAGGCTGTCATAGATCTTGATGTTATTCCATAACCGAAAATGAAAATAACAATTATAATTATGAATAGCAATAGATCATTTGTCTACAACAACAAAAACACAACATATAGATCATTATGATACAAGTTATCTACCATTTTTCGAATCATGGCTAATTTTGGACCTAAACTTGAAACAACGCCAACAAAGAGAACTGTCCGAATAAACCACAGTTCCAGATCATAAGCCATTACTACTCTGTAAACATACAACCACATTCACTGAATGCTACAATAATTGTATTATCTACCTCGCTGCTGAAAAATCGGATATATCTGTTAGCACAAAACGTAGTACAAGTCCAACATAAAAAAGAATAAATGATGGAAGAACCAGACAAAGATTCGATATTCGATTATATATGTGAAAATAGTTCAAAATCTTGCCCTTCCAAGTTCGATTTTCTTGAGAGTAGAACTAATAAATAAAGTAGTTCTTGATTATATGCATTATGAATATCATCGAAGGCTCTCACCAGTTGGATCTCTTCAAAAAACATAGTAGTTACAATAATGATAGTCATTGTTTCAGTCCAATGCATCTCTGAGCTGGGATCTGATAGTGGATCAAACGCATATAGTATATAGTAACTGAAGAAAACCAGGAAAATCATATAGCCAAACTGTTGTATCCAAAGAATAATACTGCGTAGGGATAAAATTATATTACATTTAACTCACGCAAGTATAGACATATTTAACAATGGGTTGGTTGTGAAAGTGAAAAAAATGCATGAATTTTGATTTATCTATCGTATAATCATCTGAATAATTAATGCCATGTACTGCCAATCTAAATAAATATTGGATTATATTGAAGTTCATCAACCAGATACTAACCGCCGTTCTGAAGCTGTTGGTGGTACTGCCTATCAAACAATAAAAAAGAGAACATAATCGTAGGAAAAACTTCTTGAACCTTACATTAATTCCTTCCTTCTCTGGATGAATTTTATAAGAGCGTTTTTCGTAAAAGGAGATGAAGAATTGTGAGATACCCATTGTGATTACGTTAACAACAAGACGGTTTCGTTCTTGAACCGGATCGATTTTATCATACCATATATTTGTTAGCAATGCTTGACAGGCGTCTTCGGATAAAAATCTCTTATTATCTGCTTCAATTGCCATTTGAAGACATGTTACATCTCCGTACAGACTCAACTTTCGAATAATCAATTCGCAAGCTAGTTGTTTGTTGTAAAAATATGAACAACGCACAAACTCGATGGCATATGTTTCGAACATTTTCGCTTCTGAATATAATTGTTCTTTTGATTCGTGATCCGGTGCATACTTAGTTAGGGACTTCAGGATTTTGGAGGCGATAAGCGCTGAACATATGCGAGTTTTCATTTTACCAAGAATAACTTTTGCCATGTTAAGTCGATAAGTGAGCACACACCACAGATAAATGTCACGATAAATGCATTCAATATCTCGTGATTCATATTCCGATTCCGATTGATGATCATACAGAGGAATCATGACATCACCAACCAAAATTTCAAGAATAGCATTCAAATAATTTGGCTTTTGAAATGTGTGCCTTTGATCAATCTTGTCCAATAGATTGAGTGGATCCGACTAAATAAGATACAGCTTTCCCCTTCAAATAGAATTTTGATATAAAAAAATCTACTTACATGTTTTCGCTTTTCTTTTGAATATAACGTGCTTAAATAGGTGTTCTCTAAAAGAAGGTGTCATACTTAACCATTTAGGATCTCAGTAAGGACCTCGAATCTTTCAAGATTTTATATTTGAATATTGTTTTCAGAACCATATAAAGTTTTTGACTTTTTAGCTAGAACTTAGAACTGATTCTGAAAGTGGAACTGAGGAAACTTTGGGTAAAACAACTTTTATTTTAGAGAGTGCACTCACCAAAACCTTTCATTTTCTTTCCATCATCAGTAGATCGAAGCAAGATAGAAATGTCAATGTCGAGCAGGAGAAAGTTATGGACAAATAGATGCAAATTTTTACTTAAAGCATCGAGTAGTATGGATTGGTTGTCGTCTATCTATAATGAAAAATGTTTTACCAATTTCAGAATGAAAGTACAATCAATATACTTGTTTTTGATCGTTCCAGTCGATTGTATTACTAAGTGCTTGGTCTCCCGGAATAGTTGGAAGACCCCAATGAAGCGCTAAATGTAATCGATCATCAGTGGTAATGCGGCTTGCGCTTTTGTATTTTGAGAGATTGCTTTTTGCTATTAATAGATAACTATTAGTAGAGATTACTCATTCAACTTGTGTTAAGAAATGTCTTAGTAGCAATGTGATGAATATCACGGTAAATAAAGGACAAGTGAGGGTGATTTTTGATAGAAGAACGGATTAGCACTGATGGATTACACTTATTTCATTCTTGTTATCCTCGATCGCGCCGATTCCATATAACACATACATTTTCTATCCAACTATCAGAGACAACGAAAGAGCGTGAAAGATCAAGATACCTATCAAAGATATTAAAGTCAATACAAACCATAGAACAAGGACACACTGCATGACAAAGAGAGAGAGAGAGCGCACAATAAGGACAAAATCGTAGTTACGCTTTGCCTTTAGCGTTACACCAGTTGAGCAATATTTTCCGAGATATACTGTTAGACATATGGAGGAAGTTTTTGAGAGAGCCTAACTAATATGAAAGTGTTCTTTTTCATTATAAAAATTCATTTTTCATATTTTATACTACAATTTTGCACATTTAGTGTTAACAATTATTTCATTTAATCTCTCCAAACTGAGAGTCCTTGCCATATTTTCTCATTGTAAGTGCAACAGAGAACTTTCTGTAAAATAGTATTTCACTTTAAGGACTTTAAAGCAAGTCAGGAGTTCATTGCTACGTACGATACTGTAAAACATTCGATAATGTAAGCATCCGGTATCGAAGCTGAATGCAGCTGACTGTCTCAAAGACAATTTTGTTATTCTTTGCCTTCATTTAGGTACTCATACTCATATCTAAGTCGATAAGCATAGAATACAGAACATTACTTATGTTTGTTCTGGAGTAAGTTGCAATAAGCGTTTTAATCTTGCATAGCTATAGCTTGACAGAGCCTTCCATCACACAACATATAACAGAGAAAATCATCCTTGATATTAACTCACCTTGAACCATAGCCCCATAAATTGTGTTTTGTAATGTGTTGGATGAATCAAGATTTAAAATATGTATATTATTACGAAGTGGAAAATTCAGACAAGCTGAAAACCACGAAACATATTTTTTGAAGGATTTTCTTTCTTCCAAACTCAGTACTCCTTCCACATACAAACTTTTGCCAGAGGTCTTATACTCTTTTTGTCGAATAACATCGTAGAGCTTGAGCAAATCCTTGTAAATATCTTTAAGATGTATGCCCAATACACTCGAATTTTCTACAGAGCTATAGATAATTATATCATAGCTATTGATAAAATGTTGGCCTTCACAATGACTTACGTATGTATTAATGACAGTTGTGGTTGTTTTACATTAGCTAGAGCAAAATAGTGATCATTTAAAAACCTATCAAGGTCGTTGTCATGATCATTGCTATTTCCATTCTGACCAACACGCTCGTCACTTTGACTAATGTCTTTTTTAAAAATATCTTCAATAAAATATTTTTAATGCAGAAGTATGCCACAGAAAATCACTTACTACTAGTTGCCTTAAAATATTTACACAATATATTAGCCAAGGGCCCACTTTTCTATGTGAGACGAAAATCAATGAAATTATTCATGTTTTATACAGGTGCTTCTTTCATAACTTACATCGATTATGACAATCGGTACATGATCTCTTAGATCCTTCCATATTGATTTTAGTGCATGTAAATTCCCACCAGCCAGAATGTTAACAAGTGGTACTAAAGCAAACATGAAATTTACATAATAATAATGATGAGTTTCAAATTTGATCAATAACTAACTTCTACGTCGTGCTCCAAAAGAGATCTCTCGTGCAAGTTTCGAAGCAAAGCCACTAGTATCGTTCGAATTATATGTACCATCATCAAAAAATATATAGTGAGTGTGATTCGGTTCCAACGTGTATAGATTGCGTAGATCATTTTTGACAGAATTATTATCAGTAGGTAAATATTCTCTAAAAAAACGTTTCCTAGAAAGCTCAAACGTGTTCGGAAACCCGCTAGCAAACCGTTCTCGGTTTCCTAGCGTACGCGGTGTCGAAAAAGTATACTGGAAAGCAGAAATCAGTTTCCGAGTTTTTTTCCAATTTGTTAAAGATTTCAACAGTCTTAAAAATCTTCACAATGTTTCGCAAATAAGAAACTGATCAGAGTTCGAAATATCACATAAGAACATGTTCTGTGTTCAAATTTTGTTGTTGATTTTCACTTACTCTCACTTTTTGCTATTTTTAAGACAATAGAATTTCTTTATTTTTGGTTTTATAAGTTGCTTCATTATGGATCAGTTTTTCGAAATCTGACGTTATTGAAACTTTTCCCTAGGCTGAAAGGATAGGGTCTAGAAGCCGTCATTCACGTGTCTGTCTGTCTGTCTGTAACAATGGCATAAGTAACCATTTCCATGGTACAAATGACCATTTATATGGCATAATTGACCATTGCAATCGCACAAGCGACCATTTTTATGACACAAAGGACATTGTTACGGCACAGATCATGGATGGGCGCATTACATGGCCACGTGAAACAGTCCGCTCTGGAGATAGGGTCAGTGGAGGGGCGAGCTGATCCCCTACAAAACTTTGAGCTAACCATCACGAAATTTCTGAACCGTATATTTTGTGGGTAGATAAGAGTCAGGATCTGCCCTCCTTAAGGGTCTTTGAGTCCCATCTTGTCTGTCTCTCGTCTTCACTTTCAGTGCTTTTACTTGAGACCTTTACTTTTCGTCTAATTCTTACCTCAGTTTCACTTTTCCCACTCCCTTTACAGGTCTGTTTGAAAATATCATCACCAACTGCTGGCACGAACAACCGATTGCCTGTTCTGTCCATGCATTTGTTCTCCTCAGCAGTGTCAGTTTAGGACCCAGTGAATCGACTTTCAATATCGATGAACGTTACTTGTTGAGGTTCCGGGTATACGAGCGAAACTTTTTAAAGCCTAATTAAGTACCACGGAACTTTTTAAGTTCCGTATCGTACCTTTTTTCCAGTGTACTTATTCGAAGCTCCTTATATCTAGGGATGTACCGAGACTGACATTTCTCTTACAAAGATTAAGTTTTTTCACTTGTAAGAACCCCCGAGACTGTACGAGATTTTTATTAAGAGCTGTTCCGCTTGAGTGCCCTTAGTTACTCATACAATGGGACAGACCAAACAAGAAAAAAACGGTCGAGTCTCGGGCAGTCTCGGGCAAAATTTTATTTTTTTCGATTTTTCGACCGAGACTGGCCGAGATTCAACCATTTTTTTTCTTATTTGGTCTGTCCCATTGTATGAATAACTAAGGGTACTCAAACGGAACAACTCTTAATAAAAAATCTCGTACAGTCTCGGGGGTTCTTACAAGTGAAAAAACCTCATCTTTGTAAGAGAAATATCAGTCTCGGTACATCCCTACTTATATCTGTCTATTTCATACCATCATATCTATCTCTAGCCCTGATACATATGTTGCATGTTCTTATCTAGTTCTTTCTTGCACCCTCGATATCTAACTTCTAAATAAATATGTCTACCCCACTACATACGTATATGTTTTTTAGCCTTGGTGTATGTGTTACTGTTATATCTAGACTTACACTCATTTATCGAAATATATGCTCCTATGCCTACTACGATTCCGTATGCCTTTCTGTGTTACCTGTGTTAAAGTAAAACTGGAGAAATATCGTATCGTTTTAAACTAACTTGAAAACAACGCGAACATAAAAAATGACACAGAATAAATACACGAAGGATATAGATGGGTATGGAACGTTCATCATATATAATACGAATGCAGGTCAGCAATTTGCGATGGCAAATATTTTCAATTAATATTCATTGTAAAAGCTATAGAAAAATCCAGTCATATAATAATATTTAAAATACAAATATAGAAAAATTTTAATTAAGCAGATACTCTGTTTCTTTCGGCAATATGTTAATAGCTTAACAAGTTTAGCGAGGAAACTTTGATTACTCTATAAGTGAAATGTTCTCTATTACCTAAAGAATTGACTTCGTATAGATAAATAGATAGTTTAGAAACGGTAATGTGATATACAAGCTCGATTGCAAACTGGATCATAAATATGCTAATGGAGAAGATAATTAAGATCGGGCGACTTTCTGATTTCTGGGTATTTATACGAAACATCAAAGGATTGGTTCAACACTTTTTTGTTCGTCAGTGTAATATAACACTGATCCAGTGAGTACGGCTAACCAGATGAATATTCAGATTCATGAACGAATATTGGAGAGATTTCGTGTGTACGTATACTTTGCGATTAACCTGACGAGATGCTCATCGGTATTTTTCTTTAAAGATTTACCTGCCAGCGAAAGTATGAGTACTCATTGCGGTACTGATACTCGTTTCTTCGCAAGTCATTTAACAAAACACTTATGGGTTAGAATGTAAAGAGAAATAATATACTCGAATCGAGCATAAAGAGAATTGTTTTAATGACTTAGCCGTTATTGATCATCTATTCTTTTCTGATGAGTTATTCATACTACTTCAATTCATGACTACCTTAAGAAAGAAAAGGGACCTTTCGTTTCGGTTATTATTTTCTTGTATGTTGAGATCAAATGTTTATTTAAACGTATAAATAAAAACGCTTTCTAATTTCATTTTCTGAAATGCGATAAAAGAATTTCTACATTAAATTACAGATTACAGTTATATTGTGAAAAGCAATGAAATAAATTTTGACTAATAAGTTTTTTGATTGATTGATTGTGATTTTTAGTTATAAAGACACGTGCATTTTTTTATAGAAGACTAATTCAATATGTTCTCATATCTATAGAATTAATTAAAAGAAACGTTTTTGGTAGTTTCACTTTTGTTCCTATTTTAATCCGCTGAATTTCAGATTTTCAAGTATCTTACCATTTTTTTCTTCAAATGGAGAACAAATGTGCAAAAAAGTCTGGAAAGAAAAATCAAACTTATCTGAAATGGCTGGCACAGTTCGAAGCGTGTCTACTAGCTGTCTCTGCGAACCATTCTGAGGATACAGAAAAGTCTGAAAAAGAAAAAAAGAAGATCGAAAATTTTTCGAACCTGGTCCGTGATCTCAAGGAAGTGACGCCAAAAGACATGCAGCTGGACGAACAAATTGTAACTGTTGTTCCAATATTGAATATACTTATTCGTTTTTATGCTATGGACAAGTATAGAATCATCACTTCAAAAGATCAATTTCATACAGTAATAAAAATTTTTGTCCTCCATTTGCTGAAAATATCCGCTTTGATATCAAATGGTGTCAAAAAATCAGACATTAATAGCGCAAATACATCCAGCAGAAACAAGAAGGAAAAATCCAACAAGAACAGTGACAAAGAATCCAGCACAGACAGTGACGAAGAATCCGACAGAGATACAGCGACGTCTCATGAGACATTTAACAATGAGTACATTTTTAAAATGTATGCTACGAATATACTCGATTCAATGCTGATTAATTTTGTTAAATACGATCTCGTCAACAAATGCCTTAAACAATTTTTTTGCAAGACGGCATCAAATAGAGGTAATGCTACTTATGAATGAGCGCTGCTACCATGAATTTTTCCGTCCATCCTGGTCGTGAAAATTTGAGCTCTAACTAAAATATAATACTGTTTACGGTGCCTTAACAAATTGAGTTGTTTTGAGTCATCAGAGAATAACTATCAATGTCGCATGTTACATTAATTAAATGTATGGTAGTGTGAAGAAGCTCATAGAACTAGAAGAATTAGTAAATAGCTCGTCTCTATCAACTTTTATCTTTGATTTATGATGAAATTCTGTATTTCTGAACTACAGTAAATTGTATGTTGAATTGTCGAACAACAAAATTTTTATTTTAAATTTTCATCAATAGAAATCATAGCCGCAATCTTTTATTTTAGTATTCTAAAATCTATTCTTATCTCGCGATATTGAATATCACAAAATATTGAATTATCAAATTTCTTCTAGCAGTATAGAATGAATAGTTCTAGATAGAATACACAGAAAGATATAGTAGCATCTTCTCAAGCTGAAATCTTACAAAAAAATCTGGTGATCAAGAATTGCACGTGTGAGCGATTTTTAGAAGAAAATTTCATTATTTGTTTATTGATTATCTTATATGAAGATTAAAACCAAAAATATCCTCATGAATTGAGGAAGATAGAGTATTAAGACGATTGATTGAAAAATGTTTCTTATTTCAATTGATTGCTATACACAGTTATACATCAGATAGTATCAATATTTAACATTTGGGATGGTCTGTAGAGTAATGAAAATTCATATTCGGTTCAAACTATTTTGAAATGCCTTCTAAAGACGAACAGAATATCGAAATGAAACGACAAACATATGTTGAGTGGATGAATGAGTAATTAAAACAGATTTATGTCAATACTTGAAGATACTAAAAATATAAACGACTTTTAGATCCTGCCACAAATATCCAGCAATATCCAGCCACTACTTTCTTACAACATCAACAGATTCTCTTAGAAATAATGCGGATCATTCCTCGCTTAGTTAGCTTAGCAAACATTCGAGCGATGGATGAATTCAGCAAAAAGTACGAAAGTCTCATGAAAGAGCTTCGCGAGTTTATTGATGAATTTTTTATTAACATCAAAGATCTTTACCAAGACAAGATGTACATGGATTTAATAGATCATATTTTGAACATCATATGGAATTTGACCGATACAACTGCACTCGTGCCCATGTTTGTTAGCGCCGAATATGCAAAATCGGTTGCAGAATGGATTCAGAAACTATCAGTCCGAGATCCAAAGGAACGCGCAACTAAAGCTGTCATTGCAATTATTCACAATCTCTCAAGAGACAAAAAGGGATTAAAAGCATTGCGAGAAAAAAATCTATTTGAGATTTTAACGGAATGCAAAATATTATTGCATGTAGAAGATGAGGACGAATCTAATAAACTACGTCAACCATTTGGTATGTCACTGATTGCATTAGCTACAAGCTACGATGAACAAAAACGAAATGAGTCTTTAATTTGTATAGTTAGTGGCGAACTGTTTTCTAAGTGCAAGAAGGCTGCTAGTTGTGAAAATTGGAAATTCGATGGATTTCACTTGTCGGAATTTCTGAATTCACTTGAAGTTGCTTTTTCCAACGATACTGTTGTACGACATATTTTGGATGACAACACAGGCATAAAATCAGAATCGATAACATTCTTCGCGGCGCTTCTCGTATCTTGCTATGGATTATTATTTAATCAAGAAGCTGATGATCTCGAAAAGCGTACTTCAGAGGCTTTACTACAAATTCTGTTGTGTATTTCTAATTTTCCTGAATATCTAAAACCATTAAAAGAGCATAATCAATTTTATGTTCTAATTGAAGGTTTTGCCAAACAACCAAAACCAAATATTGCCAACCAGCCAAAACAAGATATTGTCAAACGAATTTGGTCCAATCTTAGTATGAGAGAAAATTCTACAAAAGAACCTCATCAATTGCAAGTTCGAAAGCAACCAATGGCGTTTATTAGTTACAACTGGGCTGATGATAAATTTTGTGAAAAATTTCTTGAAGAGCTAGGCAAACACACAAGAATACAGCTTTGGGTTGATTATAAAAACGTGGCGAAGACAGAGAACAATGATTGGAATAGCTATGCTCATGCAATTGAGCGTGCTACAATATTTATTGTTTTATTGTCGGAGGCTTACTGTGATAGTAAATATTGCTTTCAAGAATTAAATTATGCAGTGGCACTGACAGGTGGTCCAACACAAGTTAGAGATGCTTTTATTTTTGTCGAAACTCAGAAAGATGCGTCAAAGAAAAGAGAACGGATAAAAAACTTGTTAAATAACATGGAAACAATTGGTTACATCGAGGATTTAAATCAAATGGCTGTCAAGGTTGCCGAGAGCATTGAGTCACTGAGGAATAAAAATAAAACGACCACATATTCATCTAGCAATATCGTTCAGTCGAGTATGTGCACTATGATGTAAACAATAGAAGCCGTCATGAAAAAAAAATTAGTACATGGCATAACTATGACTATACTTAATGGAAGAAACTAATGCTATCAGACAGTCACTTTGACCGGTAGCAAGTAAATGGCGCTTTTTTTTCTTTAGAAAACCAAGGGATTATCAACAGTAACTGACTGTTTCCATACTTACGAATGAGAGCGTAACACGCGACGACTAGATAGGCAGTAGCTAACCAGGCATCCATCAAATACGTAAGTGATGATCTGGATATGACCTTCAGAGACCATCTTCATTGACAATTAAGACATAAAAGTTCTTGAGCGCGTGGGTGTGTGTTTAAGCAAACTAAGACGCGTTTCGATCTTTCTGAAGGATCTCATCCAGTAGCTTTGACTTCCTAACTATTCGAAATGAATATTAGAATTTTTTAAGTGCCATAACTGAAGCAAAAATATATAAATAACAGTGACTTGAAATAAACCATTGAATGAAATGAATTTAATAACTGCACAATTATTCAACACGTCCGTGATCTATATATAATCATTTTCAAGATTTATTAGAAATATGTTGACTACAAAACGAACGACAAGAAAAACCAACAAGACAGACAATGAAGAAAATAAGAAAAGCCTAAACTCAGAAACATGTATTGATCAGTAGTAGGTAAAAAACTCTTCGTGAACCATTAAGAAAAACAATTAAAGGTACCGAATGCTTTGGTTCATTGAGATCTGTTTTATCAGTCTCAATCAAGAGTGATTTTTTCATGCGTAAAGGATAAGGGTGATTATCTTTCTCAACAACACGGAAATCACTTTAGCTTAATATGATGACATGTGCCATTCTCATAATGCTTGATTGTTGACAAAATAACATTCATATAGCTGTTGTCTCCTACCTCTATTGTTGTTGCTGTTATGTTTTTATTTAATACTCGTGATGATCTTCTTAATACGGTGGAATTATTGTTGCAAAGATCATTACTTTCATGAATGCACCGTTGTTGTTGATGCGGTATCTTTGTTTAATCTTCTAATACATTGACGCTTCATCTTACCTATATATAAATGTCCGCAATCATTACATTCGATTGCATCGACTACATTATAGACTGTATATATGCTTAACAATAGGGTCTGTCGTTTCGAAGAATGCCTATGACGAAAATGTTAGTTTACTGAAGAATTTTATGTCAAGATCAGGTCGAGTTTTATCAGATAAATGGTGAATTTTCTTTTTCAATTCTAAAGTTAAAGATCTAATAAATGGTATCTCAACATACATTGTCTTCTTATTGATTCAGGTTCAGGCTCGTAAACCAGAGCTCACCCATGTGACTCAAACCGGAGCAAAACCGGCGCTATACCAGCGGCTCACCTTTCGGTATAATGCGCTCTACTGCCTGTATACCGCCGGTTTTTTATGAAAGTGATCCCTCATTTTGTATAGTACAGAAACGACTGAATATTTTTTCTAGTCTGTTAAAACCGACAGTATCTTGTTGAATACGATGCAATCTGATAATGTTGATGTACCTTAGCCGCCTGTAGTAGCCACAGAGCTCAACTCAGTCCCGTTTATGAAATAAATATTTTATTAAAGATCAAATAAAATAACATGAGCACTTAGTCATATTGAGTTTTCTTCTTTGCAGCGAATGTAATAAAATTTAAAATTTAAAATTTAAAATTATAAAATTTCTTTTTTAATTTAAATTGTAAATAAATGCGAAAACCTCGGATTTAAATCCGAGTGTTATGTGTACTTCAAAAAGTGATAAATCACCAATATTAATAGCTATCGAGTTCGAGTTTTTACCTTTCGATAGTCCTTTTGATTAGCTGCAAAAACAGGCATTTGGAAAACTCCACAAACTACTGGTCATCTGAGACATGAGCAGTCATCCTATTCCGCAATGTTGCACATTTCGGAACCAGTTCCGCTCCCGCAATCAGTTCCGTCGATTCCGGAATTAGTTCGTCCGATTCCCGGAATAAACGGAGTTCAGTTCAATTCCGAATTTGGGTGAAAGCGGAGTCACTCGGAATTCCTACCCATGGGATAAAAAATTAAGATATATTCACTGCGAAACGCGTTAATGCTGGCCGACTTAACGTGTTTCACAGCGTTTCCTATGGTAACACAGGCGTAAAACCAATTTTTCCATTTACTCAAAACGCGTTTGGGAGCCATTATTTCAGAATAAAACAAAAATTATATCATCTCGCGGCGTTTTTAACCGATTCAGCAGCTGCGAAACGCATTAAACCGGCCAGCATTAACGCGTTTTGCAGCATTGAAAAGTAACGAAATTTTTCCCATGGGTAGGAATTACACGGAATTCGCAGTAACTCCGGAATTACAACTTGTGTAACTATTCTATCTTGTCTTAGCCATTTCGAGATCATCCGATTCCGGTCCGGAATTCCGGAATTAGATCAATACGGAATCGCTGGGAATTAGATCAATACGGAATCGCAGGGAATTAGACGGAATTCCTAGGAATTTTGTGTAATTCCGTTCAATTTCTGTTCGACCTAATTCCCGGAATTCCGAAACGGAATTGCATGGTGTGGGTGTAAATGTGAGTGTTGCCGTAAGTGTGGGTGTGGATGTTAGTGTGGGTGCACTGAATTCCGGAACCGTTGGGAATTAGGCGGAATCCGTGTGAAGTCCGTGTAATTCCGGAATTGTGTTGGAAGTGACAGACGGAATTTCGGGAATTAGATGAAATTGGTTCCGGAATGTTCAACATTGCGGAATAGGATGTATTCTTAGGCATATCTAGGCAATTTGGTTTCTTGATGCAGTTTTGTGTATTTTTAGAACTATTTCAGGTCATGTTTTGTTAGAAAGCTACGATTAATATACACTTATGTTTAGAGCGCCCTCTGTTTGTACTTTTCTTTTTGTTTAATAATAGTTCTCTTTTAAACAGCGCAAAACGGAAAAATGCGATAAAACGGTTAACGGAACTTCGAACCGAACCGAACCAAACCGAAAAAAGTTTAACTGAAACGAACCGAACCGATTTATTTTTCAAAAATTTTTAACCGCGCCGAAATCGATTCGGTTCGGTCCGGTTAGAAATCGACTTTAGTCGCATCTCTGCACACCACACCCACACCCACACCCACACCCTCAAAATTTGTGCAAACGCGGTAAGCTACTTGTTGACCTTTTTTTAGTTGGTAGGTACCTTATACAACAGAATAGGAAGCTGAAAATTTTACCATAGACGTTCTTTTATAGGCCCAACATATCCTCAAAGTTTCATAGCATCTCATTGTTCTTGTGCTGAGACCGAATTTCGAGGGGGGGGGGACAAACTTAATGATAAAAAGTATGCATTATAAAAGGTTTTTGATCAAACGTTCATACACGATGGAAGATATGTTACTTTTGAACAATATCAAGAGAAAAAGTGCTAAAACATAAGTTCAGTTTAATCAGTCTCCATATTATCGCCATAATTGTGAGTAGCAGCTTCTGACAATTTTTTTCCAAAATTTGTATTATTACCTGCATAATGAACCGATCTCATAGCACCATTGGAGGATTGAAAAGCATAATTCACTTTTTGACATTCTTTAGCATGTTTAATCGTATTTATTCCTTTACTAAGATTACCACAGAATTGACAATTTCCTGGTTTCTCATCGGCTAAGTTCCACGACCGATTATACTGTTGGTTGATACTTGTATTATCAACTGGTGGCACAGGAGGAGCTTGAGGGTGTTTGATAATGGGAGCCTTGTACTCGTGTTGTTCTGGGCGTGGAGCCATTCTTGTCTGTTGAAAACTCTGACCATGATTTACATGCGGTGTTAAATTATCAGGAACTGGTTTGAATGTTATGTCATGTATTTGATCTCTATCTGCATAACTCCTTGATGCTACAGTACCATCAGGTGCTTGAAACGTATGAGTCAGTTTTTCACAGTGTTTTAAATGTTCTATCATAACTGTTTCTATCAAATAGACATCACAATTTGGGCATACTGTTAGACGTTCACTATTTGATGAAAAAAAGTTAGAAACTCTTGAAAAAAATCCGTGATTTGATGACTCTCCTTGACTAGGATTATTCATAGAAACCGTTGAAGACTGTTTATCACCATTTTTCTTAGCAGCTTTTGATCTAAATTACAACAATATAACAAAATAAAGTATATATTCGTTAGAGGACAAAATGCTAAGAAATGAATATTTATAATGCAGACAAAGAAAATGTGTACATTAATACTAAGAAAGAAATTGAAAAGAAGACCCTGACAAAAGAGTACGTGTAATACATAAGAATAGCTGATCTGGACAAAGCCGTCATACAGAAATTAGAAAATTAGCTAAAAAAAGTCTAGATATTTTGTCCCAATCAATCTTATTTGCTTCCGGTCCACTCAAATATCCACTTTTAATAAAAACTTTAATAAATAGTCACTTACTTATTCATAATGAATTTTGTCCAATACGAAAGTTTTAAGCAATGACTTTAACTAAAATAACACTCGTTTTTATAGTACTTTAGTGATTTCGCAACAAAAATATAATTGCATACTTGAAAAATAAGTCTTGACTTAATATAGATTTTTCCAGTTCCGTTTAGAAAATAAATATTGGAAAAAAAGCATTGCCCTTGTTTATCACTCTATCTAGATATTAGAAAATGCGTAGTTTCTATTATTCATAAAGAAAACGATAAACAGTTTTTTCCCTTTCCTTTCTCTATGTTAAAGTTATCTATGAAGAAAGGAAGCAAAAATGCCTATTTATTTTTTTATGAGTAGTAAAAACAACGCATTCTCTAATACCTAGATAAAGTGATAACCAAGGGTAGTGAGGTTTTTCCCATATATATTTTCCAATCTAAATTGGAAAAATCTATGATGTGTCAAGATTCATATGTTATCGAATCTTTCATTAAATAGTAGTTGCGACATCACCAGCAGGAGTATAAAAACGAATCTTATTTTAGTAAAAGCCATTACTGAGAGGTTTGGTGTTTGAAAAACGAAATCTTAACTTTAATAAGTAAGCAAATATTTCTTAAAGTTGTTTTTATTAAATTTAAAACTTGAGTGGGCATAACAATTTATGTAACTCAAAGAAACAGACTTGTTTCTATTTTTGAAAATTTTTCTTATATATCAAATATTTTATGAAATTATTACTTCTATCATGATACTTTATGTTTATGATAGGAGATACATATTATCTGACAAATGGGTGGCGGAGAATCAAAACCATGTCCACGTTGTGGAGTTGTATTGTCAGAAAGCAATATGGTAGAACATCTGAAGTCTTGTGAACGATTGTATATACATGCGAAACGAGCTGATGGTGCTGAAATAACATATGATCACAAAAGTTCATCTGCAAAGAGTATAGAAACTGCGGCGAACGCGATTGGCACTGCTATAACCAATAACAGTTTAACATATCAAAAATAATTTAAGAAAACTTTTCAATACTCTATTTCTATTATTTATCTGATTTCAGTCTTACTTTACTAAGTTACATTCATTATATTCTACAACGATTTTGTTTTGGTTTGCCATAAATAAACAAGGTGTGTTTATTATATTCTGAAGTTTTGAAAAAGTTGTCATTCACATAACGCGTGTACCCAGGACGAGCATTACGACGGCCTGATACTGTCGTAAACGGCCTTATACGATACCGTATACGATTAGGGGTGGCACTTCACTTTCCTTTTGCTTTCGGAAAGGAAAGGAAAGTTACACCCCATGGCAAGTTCCTCTTTCCAGGAAATCCAAATATTTAGCTTTGAAGAAGCTTACTTGGAAATTCGTTCGAATTTCCGAGTATCTATCTATAATTCTTTGGGTTGGGTTGGGTTGGGATGAGTGAGGAAATTCATTTGAATTCCCAAGTAGCTATCTAAAATTCTTTGGGTAGGGCTTGGGTGAGAGAGAAAATGAATTCGGGTTTCTAATTAACTACCTAGAGTTATTTAGGTTAAGTTGTGCTGAGGAAATTTCGGATTTTGAAATTGTGGATGCGTTCAGTGTTGTGAGCGATATTACCTCTATCATGTTTGCTATAATCGGTGACTTATTATTTGCCTGCCTCGAGTCATTGACATATCGATCCCTCGTGATCAAAGCACCGGTGCACTAGGCAACGGTTTGCCTCAAAATTAGCAATAAACGCATTAGTTACTGACGGAGCAATCAATAGTCTCTCGATAACATGCTTGTCGGAGGGTGGGTGTGAGTGTAAATCTTTCATTAATACACCCACCCCAAATAAGACTTTATTTCAACTCTCTTCTGTATTCTGATGAAACTTCACAATAGGTTATCGAGATCCAGCAACCCGAATATATAATCAGCTTTTCATGGTGAGCTCCCATTGGTCAGAAAATAGATACACCCCAATGTCAAAAACTGTAAACGCAGTTTTTTTATATCAATTCCGAGCTAAATTTTGAGGTAAGTTTGTAGTAGGTTATCGAGGTCCAGCAACCTGAATATGTAATCAGTTTTTCACGGCAAGCTCCCATTGGTCAGAAAATAGATACACCCTAAAGTCAAAAGCTGTAAAGCTAGATTTTTTATTTCAACTCCTTTCTGCATTTTGATCGAACTTCACCATAGGTTATCGAGATCTAGGAAAACAAATCCGTCGTCTTTTTTTCGATCCAAGCTTCCCATAGCCAGAAACTAAATGCATAAAAAACACAAATTGATTTTCTTACATTAAAATTTGTTTCTTACATTGGCAAGTGCGTGAAAATTTCAGTTGTTATTCAGAGAGATAATTAATAGAATAGTGCTATCGATGTAACTATCTACGCAAAATAGTTCTCCCTTATTCAGTCAATAATGAGATGAATCAAACAGACCATTATTACGTCTTTCATTTCACCTGAGATCAAGTGTCATGTGATCAAACATAAAAGGTAAGTTCGATTTTCAAAGCTAAAACCTCGTGAAATAATTTATTTCTGTTTAGATCGGATTGCTCTCGATTGAGAAGGGGGAGAATGAAAGCCCTGAAACCCCAGAAGGGTTTTCTAGGAACCGGCATTTGCTAGACAGAGATTTCTAACTGATTTATTACATTGAGTAGACAGAGCAGTGTGAAAAACCCTATGTTTGGCCTTTTCGACAAAGGGTTCGTGGAGAACCTGATTTGTACGGAACCTAAAATGATTTCGAATTCGCAGCAATTTTTGGAACCCTTTTTACGTTTCGTACGGTTGTCGTTTTTCAGGGTAGAATTGTAGTTGCTGCGCGGTTGCGTAAAAATATTCAATAATGGATATTTATGAAGAAATGGCTTATAATCACCCTGTACCATTTTATATAATCATACGTAAGATCGTACTGTTAAATCATATACGAAATCGGATGTAAGATCTGGCATCAGATGTCAGCGACGGAGATTTTTCGTATGATTTTCCGTATGATTTTCCGTATGATTTTCCGTATGATCTTGTATGATCATATATGATTCTTGACTAAGATCTGATATGATCGTACAAGAATTTATACCTGATCTTAGTGTCAGTTTGTTCGACCTGTGGACTATTTTCCGGGTGAAAGTTTGCCGTAATATCTGGCGCAGTTATACGGACCATCTGATTATGAGAGTACCGAGCACAAACAGCCGTAAACCATGAAAATTCAGTCCCGTTTACGGTGCCGTATTACTGTGCCAGGCATTACGGGCAAATACGGCCTATTTACTGCCGTAAATATACCATTTTGACATCGTTTACCGTCGATAAACAGACCGTAAACGAGTCCGTTTTGATCAACCTGGGAAGCTGGAATTTCAAAAGGTTTCAAATTAGGAGAAAATCAGAAGAAGGCACGAAAATCAGAAAGACGTGCAAATTTCAGAATTTTTCTCTACTTTTCAGAGCGTCCGGTCGCCCTGGAATACAGTGACAGAGTCCTCTATTTTTCACTTGCATATTTTTGGAAAAAACAGAGAGCGTCATTCGATCCAGAATAATTTTATTCATATAATAAAACTAAAGCTATCTCTGTCGCCGTCAAAAAAATTAGAGGACCAATCATAGCCATAAAATATTTTGGCATCGACTTGACTTACTTGTTTGGTATAACTTTTCAAGCTTCAAGTTTAATTGAGTTTTCTATTTTAGCGATTTATTTTGTTGTTCTTGTTTAGATTTCAATTTTCACTATTTTTTTTATGAATCTCTATCGTTATGTCGATCAACATTAAACAAAAATTTCTTGAAATGCTACCTGCATCATCTGCACCGGAAGGATTCGTAAATTTCTTGAATAATTAAAATGACAATGATTATGTAATTCATATAACAATACAGTCATCAAATGAACATGAATTAATTCAAGCAATGAATCAAATGATCGATGATATTTATTTAACTTTCCTTCGTCTCAGGACGAACAATCCTATAGCTGGATCTAACCGGATTCGATCGAATTTTGATCGGTTCCTGCAGGATTCTAAGCAAATCCTGGTTGCGGACCCACTCACAGATCCCTCGTGTTAGAATTCGATAGATTCTTGCAGGAACCAGTCAAAACTCGATAGGTTTCTTTAGGAACCTCGTTGGAATCCAACTCCTGAAATTCCTATCGAATTCGGTTGTTAGATTTGATCGGATGTTCACCGGATTCCAACACTAGGAATCCGTTAATAGTCCCTCAATCCGGAATCCCATGGGACTTTGTCGACTCGTCGGATTTGATAATATCCGATCGGATTCATTCACCCGGGTATTAATAACTTACCTGATCTCGAAAGAAAAATATCGAAAGAACCATTAACAACTTGCGAGATTTAATTATCAAAACCATCAGTTCGTTCAAAGAACAAATTGCTACTTTAACTACTACTATGGTAAATATGAAAAACAAAATGGATATCATCGAGAACAATCAAATGAAATTAAAGCGAATAAATATAATTTCTGAAATTTTATCTCCTTTGAAAAAACTCATTTTTCGTAATATGTCCAATGCTCAGATTCCTTCATATTATTACGATGTGAACTTATTGAAATGTTTATATTCATTGGAACAAAATGATATTGGTTCCAGAGATTTCTATATTGACCTTTTCAAGGC